GTCGGGCATCGCTCTCTCGGCTGTCACCCCTAGAGACGCCCGCGCAATGCGGTCCCCTATGGGTTAGCCCTGTGCCCCTCGCCAGGCTGCTTGCGTCCTCCGCCACTTCCGCGGCAAGCTGTGGGAGTCCGATCAAGCCTAGAAGTGTCCTAAACAGCTTGTCAGTGAAGGGTTCCATCAAATTCCTCTAACGCTCTGTGACAGACTCGGGCCCCCGAAATCGGTGGTCCATTGTGGCCCCTCATCGCGGCTGCTATGTAAAGCTGTTTAGGGCATGCTGCCGCTAGTGTGTTAGTTGTCTTGCGGTTCCTGGGATCTCCGAAACGATTGGGAGATCCCCCTGATATTTTGTACAAGATGATCTGGTTCCGTGGGCACGAGGCCCTGGTGAGGTGGGGGGAGAAGGCCAAGGGACCGAAATTACCCGCTCAGGGACCCCAGAGAGAGACCATGACGATGGGCACATCGTCCACTCAGGTGCGTCGTGGAAGTGGTTATGTTGGGAAGCTCCTTCACGCTGGAACACTACGAAGTATTCGCCACAGTGGTCGTGGTGGTGGTAGGCGTGTGCGTAGCACTGGCAGCATTCAGGTCAGCAGCGGCAGCAATGGCAGTAGCGGTAGCACTCGCTGAGGCCGTTGTGCCGTGGTGGGCGGAGGAGGAGGACAAGGGGTAGTCCAGGAGGTGTGCTGTGGGAGCGAAGGGGCGCGAGGGAAGTAGGAGGCCAGGCTTTCGAGGCGGATGCGGCCCCCCAAAAGGCTCCCAAAGGGCGGAGCACGTGCAGACTCTTCTCGTCGCCATCGTCGTTCTCGTCGCCAACGCCGTCGTCGTTCCCTTTGTCATCGTCGTTCTCGCTGTCATCGCACTTGTTGCCGTCATCGTCGTCGTCACCGTCGTCGTCATCGCCGTCGTCGTTTTCGTCGTCGTCGTAGTCGTCGTAGTCGTCGTCGTCGTAGTCGTCGTCGTAGTCGTCGTCGTAGTCGTCGTCGTAGTCGTCGTCGTAGTCGTCGTCGTCGTCAATGTCGTCCTCGTCGTCGACGTCGTCGTCACCGCCTGCCGCGTGGCGCGGGCAGAACCTACACCGGACCATCGTCCAGGGCAAGGAGCCGGAGGACTTGCCAGATCGAGTCGTGGAGGAGAAGGCCTGACGTTCCTTCAGTATGCAGCCACTGTTACACTGAGCATCGGCGCTGGTATATTGCACAAAATTAAGTCCAGCCTCATCCGGTCGAATCCCACTTCATCCAGCTCAATCCTGGGATAATCTGGCTTCTTGTCCGCACAATCATGCCAATAGTTCTTCGCGAGGGCCTCCCAGGAGTTGCCATCCTGACCTCCCTCAAGAAGGGGGGGAGGGCGCGGAAGAGAGAGGCAATTCTGGGCCGGCTTCGGTTCTTACGCCGTTCGGGCTGCGAGTGCCAATGGTCCGTTCGAGCTTTTCTCGTTCGAGGTGGCCCAGGAGGAGGAGCAGGAGAACTGCAGCAGAAGGGGGAGGAGGAGCGGGGAAGGTAGAGGAGGAGCAGAGGAAGAGCAGATGAAGGGGGATAGCAGGGGGTGGGCGGGGGGAAGGAGCAGGGAGCGGCAGAGGAAAAGAGGGGGGGGGAGGAGCGGGGCGGAGGTAGTGGAAAAGCGGAGTGGCGGAGGAACGCGAGAAGCCAGTGAGAGGGGCGAGGAGGGGGGGGGAGGGGGGAAGAGGGTGAACCGCAGGGGCAGGCAGGATGGGGGGGGAAGGGGGGGGAGGCAGCAGAGGGCGGGTGGGCTGATGAGGAGGGGAAGAAGGGGTGGGAGGAAGGGAGGAGGGGGGGGGGGCGCGAGGGGCGGGGGGTGAGGGTGGGAGGGAGGCGTGGGGAGGAGTGAAGGGGAGGAGTGGGGAGGAGCGGGGGGGAGAGACGTGTGGGGAGGGGGGGGGGAGGGGGAGGAAGGGACGGAGCAGGAAGGAGGAGCGGGGCGAGGGCCAGGCAGGAGGTGAGACGTCCCCGAGCCCCACCCTCCAGGCGGCGCCCGCGTCGGCCGACGCGGCCGCGGGGCCGCCGAAGGAGAAGCGAAAGGAGCGCGCCGTTGCCGTCTTCGTGGCTTTCACGGTCGAAAGTCGAAGGTCGAGAGTCGAGGATTGTCGAGGATCGAGGGTGAAGTGTCCAGGTGTTCAGGCGGTTCTGGCCAGTGTGGGGCTTCCAGGGGTCGCCGTCGCCGTCGTGTGCTCGTCCTCGAGTACTGAGGTTCGAAGTTCGAGGTGATCGGGCTCGTTCTGGGAGCCTGGAGACCTCCACGGAGACCTCCAGACGCATCTGGAGGCTTCAAGGTTGTCGACGTCGTTGCAGTGATGGTGGTGGTGGTGGTGGTGGTGATCGTCGTCGTCGTCGTCGTCGCCGTTCCTCCTCTCTTGCTTCTGCTGCTTGTTCCCCCCCTCCCCCCACTGTGGAAGGAGGAGAGGGGGAGGAGGGATGACGCGGAGGTTGGGGGGCACTGTGGCACTGTGGGGGGGGGAGCAGGGCAAGGAGAGAGAGAGAGAGAGAGAGGGGGAGGGCGAGAAAGAGAGAGGCGGAGGAGTTTGGCTGTGGTGGGAGGAGGGCGGCTCTCCCGGCGCCGTTGCTGCTTCTCCCCCGCCCCTAGAGAGAGGATCGCGAGGGGGAGGAGGAGCAGGAGGAGGAGGAGGAGGAGGAGGAGGAGGAGAGGAGGAGGAGGAGGTCGAGGAGGAGGAGGAGGAGGAGGAGGAGGAGGAGGAGGAGGAAAGGCCAAAGCGGGGCTGCTGGGGGTCGCGCCCGCGCGGCGCTCCACCGGTGTCCTCCTGGGCGAACCGCCAGGCGACCCCTTTCCCAGGGGGCCCTCGGTGAGGAGCCCCCCGCTTCGGCGTCGGGCTCCAGCCGAACGTCCTCGGGCCGCGGGGAAGGGCAACATGCGGGCACAGCTCGCTGGCCTATGAGTGCCCGCGCAGGGCGGCCCAGCTGGGCGCGCGCCCTGACCAGGGGGTAGCGCCAAGCGGAGCGGAAGGAAGGAAGGATGAGGAAGCTTTCGCCGACGAGGACAAAGCGGCACAAACATTCAGGCAGGGTTCTCCCTCACAGCCGCTCATGGAGTGTCCCACGACTGGTCCACAAACTCTCCACTGATGGCCCGCCAATGTCCCATCTGAGGCCCACGGATGGACCCGCGAACGGCCCCGCTAATGGCCCACTAATGAATTTGGCCCACTAATGGCCCACTAATAAAGTTGACCCACGACTGACCAACTTATGGCCCACTAGTGACTTGCTGATGGTGGTTGGCCCACGAATGATCTTCGAATGGCTCGCTTCCCATCTTTCTATCGCGTTGTCGCGATTGCAGAGGTCATGAGTACCAAAGCAGCCGGCAATTCGGGTGCCATTCGCCAGGTCCGAGGGCATTGTGAGACAGGGGCCTATCATGAAAACATTAACTTTTGACGCTCCGCGCAGATCCAAGAAGTCCGCGCGGACCGCCGAAGTTGTATGTTTATGCAGTTTCTTCTTCCTTGACTGTTTTTGGAGTATGATGATGATGATGATGATGATGATGATGATGCTGATGATGCTGATGATGATGATGCTGATGCTGATGATGCTGATGATGCTGATGCTGATGCTGATGATGATGATGATGATGATGATGATGATGATGATGATGATGATGATGATGATGATGATGATGTGATGATGTGTTCGCTGCAGATGCTATACCAAAGTACTAGGCAGTGACTTGTGCGAGCTCGGCGGGGACTTCGCATGACCTCCGCTGCACCCTTGCTGTGCTGAGCGGGCTCGAGCCAGAGGGCCACGGAACAAACAATATCACTATGTTGCTCTTGCGCAGAATGAGCGTTGTGTGAGCTTCCAATTCGGAGTAATGCCCCTCTGAAGCTCATGCTTTGTGGCTTTCCGCCCACCCTCCCCTCGCCGTGCTTCGCTATGGAGCAAAGGAGCCCTGCGAGAACGGGCCCTAAACCCTGGAGCTCTCCTCAGGACTTATCATGTTCCTGCCTACTTTAGCCTTGATCACCAGGAAGAATTTCGAGCACCAGAAAAAATACCGAAACTCGAGCGTGTTCACGTGTCAGGCCCTGGGAGACACTCGTCCGACACTTGTTCGGCACTCTTTCGACACTTTTCCGGGTGCTCGAAATTATTTCCGGGATGTGGTTCTGAAGTATGATTGGAGCAACGTATCCCAGGACAGGCCTTTCATCCTGAACCTTTTTGTTGGGGGTCCCGTTGCCCGTGGAGGGCCCTGCGGAACCGACAACGGCGAACAACGTCACCAGCGCATCACCTGCGAAGCAGGTGCTTCGTATAAAAAGTGCAGGAGGAACGCGCAGTCTAAAAGAAGACGAGCGTATGGCCGATACTCAAGCCCCTCCGACCAATGCAGGGACAGCCTATTTGTTGTGCCGTGCTTGGCCCGCTCTGAAGATGCTGCTCGCCACGTCCCCCGAAGTGGGCCGGACGATAGGGTATAGGACGGGAAAAGGGGGGGAAATTTGCTGCATGCAGCTGGTTCCCGCCCCGCCGCCAGGGCCATTCTTCGATGCACGGGTGCGTCCCTGTGCAGGGAGGCGCCAGGAAAACCGACTACGTGAGCTGATTCTCTAACATGCCTTTTGCTATCCGACCCTTTCGTTCGACTGGACGTAAGGTTGAACCTTCGCCAGAGTGACCTTTGGTGCGGGCCCATTGGGCCAAATTGGGGTCCCCCGATCGCCGAACGCGATGCGATAGTACCGTCTTGCTCGTTTGTGTGTTGGTTCCCCCGCGGCCCCCAACAAACCGTTCATCAAAAGTCATTATTGCCCAGGGTGGCTCTTACGTGTAGCCAAAAGAAGGGCCTTCGGAGGCGCATCGTCGGGGAGGCCCAGAACGGCCCGATCATGTCCAAAACCTGTCCTTACCAAAATTCGCTCAGATCCGGCCCCTGGCCCCCTCACCGGTCCATCCTGAGCAGCTTTTCCTCTCAGGTCGCTTCTGATGGTCCCTGGGCCCGATGCGGGCCCCTGGAAGTCTAGATCAAGGATAAGGGCCCCCGACGCGTGCCCCCCGACGCGTGCAGCCGCTTCGTGCCCCCCCCCCCGCGAGGAGACGCCGTCCGAGCCTCCGTGCCAGATCCCCGACCACCGCCTGCAGTACCACAAGGACCCGGGGCTGAAGAGATCGAAGGGGAGACAAGGGGAGGAAAAATGCAGGAGGAGGAGGAGGAGGAAAGCAGGAGGAGCAGGGGGAGGAGGAGGGGGAGGAGGAGGAGGAGGAGGAGGAGGAGGAGGAGGAGGAGGAGGAGGAGGAGGAGGAGGAGGAGGAGGAGGAGGAGCAGGGGAGGAGGAGGGGGAGGAGGAGGAGGGAGGAGGAGGAGGAGGAGGAGGAGGAGGAGGAGGAGGAGGAGGAGGAGGAGGAGGGAGGAGGAGAAGGAGGAGGAGGAGGGGGAGGAGGAGGAGGAGGAGGAGGAGGAGGAGGAGGAGGAAAAGGAGGAGGAGGAGGAGGAGAGAGGGAGGAGGAGGAGGAGGAGGAGGAGGAGGAGGAGGAGGAGGAGGGGAGGAGGAGGAGGAGGAGGAGGAGGAGGAGGAGGAGGAGGAGGAGGAGGAGGAGGAGGAGGAGGAGGAGGAGGAGGGAGGAGAGGAGGAGGAGGAGGGGGAGGAGGATCAGGAGGGGGAGGAGGAGGAGGAGGAGGAGGAGGAGGAGGAGGAGGAGGAGGAGGAGGAGGAGGAGAAGGGGGGGGTGGGGGCGGCCCCCCCCCGCCGAGCCTCGGAGGTGCGGCGGTAGCCGCCCCCCCCCGAGGCGACGCGCCTGGCTCTGTTGGCGGGCTCCTCGGCGGTGCCACGACGAAGACGACGACGACGACGCCGACGCCGCCGTCGACGACGACGACGACGACGACGACGACGACGACGACGACGGCGACGACGACGACGACGGAGCACGACGGCGACGACGAGGACGACGGAGCACGACGGCGACGGCGACGACGGAGCACGACGGCGATGACGCCGACGACGACGACGACGACGACGACGACGACGACGACGACGACGACGACGACGACGACGACGACGACGACGACGACGACGACGACGACGGAGCACGACAGAGCACGACGGAGCACGACAGAGCACGACGGTGTGGGGGACCACCGACGGAACGGGCGGGCCTTTCTCGCCTCGGCGCTCCAGCAGCTGCGCCTCGCCGAGGATCTACTCGCAGGCGGCGCGTGGTGGCCGGAGCCCGGAGGGCGAGGCTGCGGAAGCCTCGGGAGGGTCCCTCGAAGGAGACCTGGGACGCTCGGGTAGAGGAGCTTCGGAAGAGCTTGGCGTCGGAGGCCTGGAAAGGGAAACCACCACCAACACAGGGGGTTGCCTCCACAGGGGGAAGATGATCCTAGGTGTCGGTGATGGTGGCAATGTTTCGGTCACCTTGGAAGCCAGAATATTACCACCATCACCGAGATCGTGATCTTTTTCGCTCGGTGGATGCACACCGCCGATGTTGGTGTTGGTGTCAATCTCTGGGTCTGCGATGACGGCATGCGTACAGCACTGGGAAACAATGCGGCACGGCCTTCCGGGACAAGCTGCAGGTTCGCAGGAGGCGCTGCGAGAGGTGTTCTGCGGGAAGCTGGAACGAGCTCCGGGGCTATAGCCTGCGGTTCCGGCTGCTGGCCTGAAGCCCTATCAGTAGTTCTCAGAGAGCTATCGGGGATTTTGTTCTCCCCGATTCTCCGAGGTGTGGCCGGGAAGTTCGGCCGCTCGGGACAGGGGGGGGGCCGCTGGGGTACACCCCCAGGGGGCTATTCGGACGCATCCCAGCCCATACCGAGGAGAGACGCCCCTTCACCGTACAACCCAGGGTTGGGCCCCAAGTTCCTGGACCAGTCGAGAACCCGACGAAGCCTGCTCCGAGTTTCTTAACAAGCGTCGGGGGGGCTTCACCCCCGCCGACGGTCCCACATCGACCCCCGTCGCGGGCAGCCACCGCGCGCCGAAGGCGCTCCGACCCCCGTCGCAGCGCGACGACGAGGCGAGGTGGACCCCCGTCAGGGGGTGGGTACCCCCCCACGCTTATTAAGAAACCCAGAGTAGGAGAGGGGTCGACATCTCCACTGGTACACCACATTCTTGGGCCGCCCGGATCCTGCCGAGAGGTCGCCGGAGTCCCGAGTTAGCACCCGCAGGCCAGAGGAGTGAGTCCGCTACAAGCACAGTGGAAACCCATGCCAAGAAACACCCGGTCGATTGTTTTGCTATGGAGCGCGTGGCACTCCCATACCAAAAATCCACGGACGTGCTGGGGTCTCAGGGTTGGGTTTCTCGTGGCAGGTTTCTCGTGGTCGAGCTCCTACTGTAAGGGTGACCCTTCGCCGGAGTGACCTCCTGGTGTCTAGGCCTCCTAGATGGGGTCGGAGTAGATGGGGTCGGAGGATCGCGCCGCATCGCCGATGCATCGCCGATGCGGCTCGATGTGGGGCCCGATTTGCTTCAGGTCGACGTCGCCAATGCATCGCCGACGTCGACGATGCATCGCCGGTGCATCGCCGATGCCTCGCCGATGCACCGCCGATGCATCGCCGATGTATCGCCGGTACTGCGCGATCCTTCGACCCCATCTACTCCGACCCCATCTAGGAGGCCTCTATGTGAAGGGTTGCCCTTCGCCGGAGTGACCTCCCGGTGGGGGGGCCTTCGAGCAGGAGTGGTCCAAGCCCAAGCACGCGGGCAGCTGCTGCCGCGTTGCACGCAGCGGCCCGCATGCCGCGCACCGAGGGTCACCCCAGGGAGGAGGGGGAGGAGGAGGATGAGGAGGATGAGGAGGAGGAGGAGGAGGAGGAGGAGGAGGAGGAGGAGAGAGGAGGAGGAGGAGGAGGAGGAGGAGGAGGAGGAGGAGGAGGAGGAGGAGGAGGAAGATGATGATGAGGAGGAGGAGGAGGAGGAGGAGGAGGGAGGAGTGAGGAGGGAGGGGGAGCATGAGGAGGAGGACCAGTGTGAACCCAAGGCGCATCAACGATGTTGCAATACACCTTCCCTGTAGGTTCCCCTCATAGTTTCCAGGAAAAACCCGTCCTCATCGCAGGAAGATGCCCATTGAAAGACAGCGAAATCCTTCACAGCACGAAACAAATAATATTTCAACAGCTTTACCCTTGAATTCCATAAAGTATGAGAAATTCCAAGAATACACACGACTGCTGCGTCCTGACAGTGCTAACGTGTGCCCGAATACCATTCTTGGGACTCCAACCGTACGAGCCTGTGAAGCTGCTGCAAACTGTAAAGGCGCATGCGCGCGGCGTTAAGGCGAGAGCCACATTTCGAAACGGAACCGGCCCCCCATCCTTGAAATAGTGACACATGTGTAAACCAAATGCACGCGGCGCTCAGGGAAGATATCCATTTCTGAAAAAGACCAGCCCTCCACCCGCGACACTGTTGCAAGTTTAAGGCGAATGCGCTCGGCGCTAAGGCGAGAGCTCCTTTGTGAAAACGGTCTGCCCTCGACCCTTGAAGCTGGGGGCGTCTTTTTATTTTTGAGGATCATAAGTGGTGGAGATGTCTGAGGTGAAACGACCGTCCCAACCAACGGACACGTCAGGGGGGTCGACAGAGAAGAGTCATGTATACACATCTATATTTTCATCATACACATATTTGGGTGTGTTTATAGATGTGTGCGTAGGTCTAGCCTGTATACATATGTATGTAGAAAATGCAAAAGGACGTAGGAGGAGGAGGAAGAGGAGGAGAAGAATGAGGTGGATAACACTGGAGGCGGAGAGAGGAGGGAGGATGGGCAGGGCAGAGGGAGGGAGGCGGAGGAGGAGGAGGAGGAGGAGGGGGATGGAGGAGGAGGAGGAGGAGAAGAAGGAAGAGGAGGAGGAGGAGGAGGAGGAGGAGGAGGAGGAGGAGGAGGAGGAGCAGGAGCAGGAGCAGGAGGAGGAGGAGGGAGTCCGCAGTCCCACATGGAGGCGCGGCCCCGATTGGGCACCGCAGTCCCGTCAGGAGCCGCCGAGCTCGCAGGGCTGAGGAAGCAGGAGGAAGAGGAAGGAACACGGGGGAGCACAAACGCCGCTCCGGAAGCTCAAAGCACCGCGACGCCGTGTGAAGACCGCATAACAGGGCCAGCACGGCTGCATACGTCCATCGCGTCGAGCGGATAGAAGCACACGTTTGCCTGCGACGAAGCAGGAACGAACATATGTCTTCCTCGTGGTGTCGGGTGCTGAGATGGGGACGCGGGGGGAGGGAGGAGGAGGAGGAGGAGGAGGAGGAGGAGGAGGAGGAGGAGGAGGAGGAGGAGGAGGAGGAGGAGGAGGAGGAGGAGGAGGAGGAGGAGAGGAGGAGGAGGAGGAGGAGAGGAGGAGGAGGAGGAGGAGGAGGAAGGAGGAGGAGGGAGGGGAGGAGGAGGAGGAGGAGGAGGAGGAGGAGGAGGAGGAGGAGGAGGAGGAGGAGGAGGAGGAGGAGGAGGGAGGAGGAGGAGGAGGAGGAGGAGGAGGAGGAGGAGGCTAATGGTTGAGTGGGAGCGGGCGGGAATGAGTTCGGAGGGACAAGTAGGTGAGGAGAACGAGGAGAGGGAGGAGGAGGAGGAGGAGGAGGAGGAGGAGGAGGAGGAGGAGGTGGAGGAGGAGGAGGAGGAGGAGGAGGAGGAGGAGGAGGAGGAAGAGGATAATGTGTCGGGCTTCAGCGCTGCGGCGAGGTGCCCGACTGTGGCTGGCCTTGTTTTTCTGAGGGTGCGCACCCTTTCGCTGGCCCTTTGGCTGGATATCCGCCTCTGGCCAGTTGTGCAAACTGGCTCCTGGGCGGGTGTAACCCTGGTCTTTGAGTCGAGGGGCCCGTGGGGATACCTATGAGCGCTTACTGCGTGCTTAGGTGGATGGGCCAAGCAGAGGAGGAGGTGTTTTAAAATGTTGGGGTCTGTTCGGAGGATCGTGCACGGGTTTTGGTCGAGAGACGAACAACCCACCCTCACACCTACCAGGGTGTTATTTTGTTGTTTCCGGAATGCTTGTGGGCCTACTCGACACGCCCCCACGGCGACGATTGCGAATCGCGACGTTTCGGTTTTTACAAATCTTGAAGAAACCGTATTCGTTTTTGCGAATCGGTTTTGGCGTGTTTTAGAATTCTACGTTTATGGAAATGCGCCGTTGCACGTGCGCGATGGCGCGAGTTCACATATGTCCTGGTCAACTGCGCGCGCTGTAGTTTTTTTATCAAAAAGTTGTGGGTGTTTATGAAGCGTGCGTCTGCTGCAGAGGCCCACACTGTAGAGCCCAGGATGTCGTCGTCGCGCATCGGGGGGCGGCGTGAGGGTCAGCACTCCGGGAAGGCCCCCCTCGCCTCCTCGAGGCTTCCCCGCCCCGGCAGCCAGGGAAAAAATTGTACATCACCGACACGCTGCCGTTGGGAGCAGCCCGTCAGCGCGGTGCTCCTTCTGTCGGATGTCCGCGGCGAGCCCAGGGGGGGGGGAAGCGAGAGGGGGCGGGCCTTCTCAGAAGGCCCGGGAGCCCCCTGGCCCTCTGAGCAGTGTGTTGGGCCCTTGCCCAGGGACACGGGACACTCCCCGCCGGAAGGCCGGAGGCCTCCTGAGAAGTCCCGCCGCCTTCTCAGAAGGCCTTCCCAGACAGCGGGCCTTTCGAAAAAATCGGGGGGGCCCGTGCCTCGAAGAAATCGAGACGTCGGATGTGTGGGTTCTCCTTCTCGCTTTAAGTCGGGCCTGTCCCCCTACAGGGGGATGTTCCACGAAAAATAAAAAAACACCCAAAAATATTCCCACATGGTCAAAAATATTCCAAAAATGGTCCCCGTATTATTTTTTGACTATTTTGAATATTCCCCCTGTAGAGGGACAGGCCCGACTTGATTCTCGCTCACTTCCCCCCCCTCCGCTCGCCGCCGAGTTTGTGCCAACAGACCTGGTCCGTCGTCAGAGGTAGCACGCCGATGGGCTCCCCCAGGCGGCGTGGCACGGATACTGTCTTCGCGGGGGGGAGAACGGGTCGCCTGTGGGCTACGGGCCCTGGCACGAGCTCGCTCCTCATCTCGAGTCTCGTTTTCTGAGTTCGAGGACGAGTTCGGTCTTCATCCTGAGTACGGGTTCGGTCTTCATCCCCGGGGCCTTCCCCCAGGACGAGGTCTTTCTTCATCCGGGGTCGTTGTCTGACTGTCCTGGGGCCCGCGGAGGGCTCCGAGAGTCCAAGAACGACTGAACATTTGGCACCGGTTTCCCTCAGGACGCGCTTCCCTCGTGGCGACCCAAGCGAGGCGAGAAGCCTCCCAAGAGGGCCGACCCCACCCGAGAGCCCCACCCCTGCCATCGCGGAAGGAAGGCCCCCTCGCCCTGCCTGCCGCCCGAGGCGCGGTCTGGCCGAGCTCTCGGGGCGAGTCCGGCCGCGGCCACGGGTGCCCGCAGAGTAGTCCCGACCGCGTCGGCTCCTCGTCATCCTCTTCCGCCTCAGCTTCCTCCCGTCCTCCCTCCCGTCCTCGCCCTCCTGCTGCGCGGCCGCGCCGGCTCAGGCCGGCGAGGGCCCCGAGATCGGACCGCGGGCGCCGGCGCGGCCGGCGGGCCAGCCCCAGCAGGCCATGGGCAGGTGTGCGGCGGCGAGCGCGTTCGCCGCGAGCAGCGCGGAGGAGCAGGCCGTCCAGGGGGAGCTGGCCGACCAGGCGCACGCCCGCAGCGAGGGGCGGAGGCTGCGCGCCCAGGCGGAGGCGGCGGTCCGGCGCGCAGCGTACGGCTTCGGCCCGCACCCGGGCGCGCCGGACGGCCTTCACGGGGAGGAAAAATCACAAGGCCACCAGGACCCGATCACCTGGCGTTTGCGAAACAGCCCTGCCCTGTTCGATGCCTTCTGTGGGTGCGTTTGCTAAACGGCGTCGCGTGTCGGGGTGATCGTCATGGGCGTGTATTTTCCGCCCTCTACAGGCCTGGACCCCTCCAGCGCCTCGATCCTGCACATCACCCGGCCGCGGGACAGCGAGCTGGCCATGCTCTTCGCAGAGCACGCGCGCTGGGCGCAGCGCGAGACGCTGAAGGCCCTGCGCCTTGCCGCGGCCGACGCCTCGCAGGCCGTCGACAGCGCCTCGCGAGCCGCGGCAGGGGTCTCCTCGGCGCTGCGCCAGCCAGGGGTTGAGTTCCCAGTCTACAAGGATCGACTACACGTGAGAGTGATCTTTCGCCTGAGTGACCTTGGGTGCGGGCTCATCGGGGTCCCTCCGATCGCTGAGCGCGATGCGATGTAGTGGCTGCTTGCGCGCTTGGATTTGGTCACCCTGCGCCCACTTAGCCCGCGCACTGATGGTCACTCTTACCTGGGGTCACTCTTGAATGTAGCCAAAAGGAGAAGGCGCTGCCGGGCGAGCCGTGGTTCGCAGGCAGCCAGCCGCAGAAGTGGCACGGGCTGCTGCAGGGCCAGCCCCCGGGAGGCACGAGCCTGCGAGACCTGGCCTTGTGGTTCCAGAAGCACCCCGGGCCCCCAGATCAGGAGGAGGTGCCGAAGATCGACATGGGCACGCCGCAGAAGGTCGGGACGATCGAAAGATGTACGGAGAGAATGGGCACGAGGCCCAACAGCAGCTCTTAGCTCATTTTGAACAGGACTCGCTGTCCGCGCCGCCGCGGGGACGCTGTTCTCTGAAGACACAGAGCCGCCTACCCAACAGAAGTCGCTGCCGGGTCTGGACACAGCCCTTGCTCCATTCCTTTTCCCCTGCAACTCCTCGCATCTTCCCAGATGGAAAAGGAGGAGAAGAAGGAGGAGCAGAAACAGGAGGAGGGAGGAGCAGCAGGAGGAGGGAGATGGAGGAGAAGGGAGGAAGAGGAGGATGAGGAGGAGGAGGAGGAGGAGGAGGAGGAGGAGGAGGAGGAGGAGGAGAAGGCCGAGGAGGAGGAGGCGGAGGAGGAGGAGGAGGAGGAGGAGGAGGAGGAGGGGAGGCTCGCTCCCGATGAGGGCCGTCGCCAGCCGGCGCGCGCAACACCCGTGCCTGGCGGGCCCTCCCGGGCACACTGGCACTTGTGGAGTCGCGCGCCCACCCTCCCTCCCCCAACAAAAATGCTTCAGGAGGGAAAATAACACAGACACAATGAATCGTCGATTCCCCAGAAAATATTGGAAAAATATGGGAAGTGGGGGGGAAGACAAAAGCCCAGAAAATATTAGGAAATATACGGGAATCCTGTTATTTGTGTGTAGTGATGTTGTTGGGCACTGTGCCAACTCTTTCCGTACAGTCAACCCGCATAGGAAGGAGGAACCATTTTCCAAGGCTGCCCCGGCATCCTCCCCCTGTGCCCTATCCTTGGCCGCTTTCACTGGCCGCCTTCCCCGCCCGCCACGTGTCGACATGGCCTTCCAAAGGCCCTTGCATCCTCCTCGTGCGTCCTCACATGTGCGGGTCGACTGTGCCCGTCTCGGGCGCCCCCAGGCGGGGGCCGCCCGCATCAGCGACCGCGGCCCGGCCCCGGCGCCCTTCCTCGTGCCGCCCGTGTGGCGCCACACGCGCGGCGACGAGGGCCACGACGGCGTGATGGAAGCGCGCGGCGCGCCCCTGGCCCTCGCCGCGCTGCGGCCGCCCGGCGCCGCGCGGCGGGGGGCGCCTGGCCCGCGGCGGCCGCGCCGCGCGGGGCCGTCGGGCGGCGCCCGGGGGGCCGCCGCGTTCCTCTGAGCCGCCGCGGCGCGCGGGGCCGCCGGGCGGCGCCAACCGGGGCCGCTGCGGTCTCTCCCCGCAGCCGCCGCGGCGCGCGGCCGCCCAGGTCCCCAGAGATCCGAGGATCGGGTTTCGTCAGGAAAGGAAAAAAACACAGACACAATGAATCCTCGATTCCCCAGAAAATGCGGAAAAATATGGGAAGTGGGGGGAAGACAGAAACCGGGAAAATATGGGAAAATATGGGGAATATTTCTACTTGTGTGTATTTATTTGTGTGTCCTGGGGCCCCTTCATTTCGGTGTGTACATCTGGCGGTGCTTCCTGGATTGCGGCCTCTGGGGCCCGTGCCCGGGCCCGGGGGCCCTCAGAATTTGGAGCTGGGAGGAGGCACCGCCCCGCGGGGAAGGGGCCGGGACCTCCTGGGGCCGCCGATCGAAACAGCCATTATCGGCGGGGGCCTGGGTCTCCGACGAGTGGGCGCGAGGGAAGGGGCCCTGGGACACAAATAAATACACACACATAAAACGATACCCATATTTTCCCATAATTTCTGGGTTTTTGTCTTCCCCCCCACTTCCCATATTTTCCCATACTTTCCTGGGGATCGTCGATGAATTGTGGCTTATGTGTTTTTTCCCTCTTGAGGAGGGAAGCGGGTCCTGAGCCTAGCTAGCTGCCTCGATACGCCCGTTTTTGAAACAGCGCAGCACTTACCCCGTGCTCGAAGCGTCCTCGCTAACACGCTGCGTGCTGGCTCGGCACGTGTTGGCCCACGCTTTGGCGAACGTATCGCGCCATACCTGCGCTTTCAGTCTACATGCTGAGCTCCGTATCAATACGCTGGTTACGTGTTGCATGCTGCGTATCGGGGCAGTTCATGTCCGAGGGCAGCGGGCCCTGAGGTGTTTCGCCGTTCGCTGGGTTCTCGGGGCCCCTCTAGGGCTTCCCGGGATGAAAAGCTGGTCATTGGGGGAAGGCCTCGGGGTCCAGGACCCGTTTCCCTCAGGACCCGCTTCATTCGTGCTAGGACGATGTCATTTGCTGTTCAGACTTGGGCGCTTTTTGTAGATTACGGTCTCTGGGGCTGGTTCTCGTCGGGCCCCTGCACCATCAAAAATGGATCCGGCACGCAAAATTTCCCCCAGGGAAGGGGTGGGGGAGCTCGGGGGCCGCGGAATGACAAACCATGTGGGAGGATGTCTGGAGGCCGCGCGAAGTCCGCGGCCTCTAAACTTGGTCCGAGTGGATGAGGTCGACGGATGGCGCCGCGTCGCCGACGGCGCCGATCCATCGCAGACGTCGGCGATGCATCGCCGATGCATCGCCGATGCATCGCCGATGCGCCGCGACCCCCCGAGCCGATCTGCTCGGAGCCCCTGGGAGGCCTCAGGTGAAGCCCGGGGCCTCCAGCGCCACGAGAAGGAGGCTTGGGCGTCGGGTGTCCTCAACGGCCAACGGCATATAGCTTAGCTTGGGGCCCCCTTCGCGACCGTCACAGGGCGGCGGCCCGGGATGACAGATCGGTCTCCGAGGATGGGGTAGAGAGGTCAGGGAAGGGGGGCGGACATTCACCACCCACCAAGCCACCCCAACCCAACCCGAAGGCCTCAATCTGCTTTCCATGCTCATTGCCTGCACGAGGAGCCCGTGCTCTCCCCAACTCGTAATCGGGGTCCTCGGGTTCTTTTGGGATGGCATGGTAGGTAGTCAGGCACGCCAGTAGCGAAGCTCGCGTCGTCGGATGTCTGGGAGCCGCCCTTTGTGCCCGTGCCTGGCCGCTGGGCTTCACCACGGGGTGTGAGCCAGCCCGCGCGGCGTGCAGGATGCGGCGGCCACGCTCGCTGGAGAAGAGCTCGTCCCCACTTGCGAGTCGGGCGGCCGCCTGCAATCATGCCGAGCGTTGGCCCGTCGGGAGCGCCGTCGAAGGCATACCAATTCGTCGAAGGCGCCCGCGTTGAACCACCGCCGCCCCTGCCCTTCTGGTCTCGCCGATGTGGCAGAGCTTTGTGTCCAGAGCTTGGACAAGCAAGCTCTCGCAGCATGTGTTCCTCTAGCAGCTGTGGAAACGCTCGGGGGAACTCGTAAGAGGAGAAAGAGGAAGAGGAAGAGAGGGAGGACAACTTAGGGGAGGAGGAAGCCTATTGGGAGCCTCCTGGGGCACTCTAGTGGGCTCCTGGGAGCTTCATGTTTTTTTTGTCGGAGGCCTCTTGGGGGCCTCATTGGGCCTCTTGGGGCCTTCGGGGGCTTTTGGGGGGCATCTCTGGCCGTCTTAGGCAGGGCGCTCCTGGTCCGTTTGACGCTGTCGGAAGCCATCTTGGGGGCCTCTCTGAGCTGACTTGGGGCCCTCTTGGAGCGCTTCAGGGCCGTCTTGGATGCCATCTTGGGCGTCTTGGGGGCCTCTTGGGCCGTCTTAGGGCCCCTTTGAGGCCGTTTTGGGGGCCTACCGGGCCGTCACCAGGGCAATCTTGGAGGCCTCTTGGGCAATCTTGGGGCGGTCTTAGGGGCCTCTTCGGCCGTCTGGGGCCGTTGTAAGGCCGATAATGAGCAAATCTCAAACTAAAGGGACTCCATGCTTTGGGCATCTTGGGGACATCCTGGAGAACAGAGTTGAGGCCTCTTGGGCCGTCTCGGAGGCCGTTTGGAGCCATCTTGGCACGTCTTGGTGGCTTCGTAGGTGGATTTGGACCTGGAGGCATCTTGGACCATCTTTGGTCGTCTTGGAGGCCATCTTGGCCGGCGTGGAGACCATCTTGGCGGTCTTGGAAGCCATCTTGACCGTGTTGGACGCCATCTGGGGCCATCTGCCGTCTGGGAGCTATGCTGGGCGGAAGAACCCTTGCCTCCGACCGCCAGGGGAGCTTGTTGGGTGGCCTGCGGCTTGGGCCGAGACCCCACCTGGAGTTCTTCAGAAAAGCAAGAACCTGCCAGACGCTCGGCACGCCGTGCACCCCTGTGGCAAGCCACTTGTTTCGTCGGTGGCGAGGCGGGGCAATCCGCAGCTGCGAAAGGGCGAAGCAGGGGCACCACTGAGCCAAGTGTCCGGCGTGCAAGAGCGGAAGGAGGACAAAGGGGCCGCGGGCGGAAGGGGAATTGTGGCAAGCCGCAGGGGGCGGTGGAGATTGTGCGGCCTTCGGCCCATCCCGCCACCGCGCATTGACTGTGGGCCAGCGGCCTCTTGGATGCCTCTTGGAGTCTCTTGGGATGCCTCTGGGGGCCTCTCGGTCGCCTCTTTGGTACCCCCTGGTCGCCTCTTAGGGGGCCTCTTGCGGGCCTCTTGTATGATACGGGGCCCAAGACATTCAGACACATCATAGTGCCCATTTTGAATTTTCAGAAATCTCTGGTGGCGATTTAAGGATGCGGGATTTGGGGCGCCAGAGGAGTGTCTCTGATGCCCAACAGAGCACAGATAATCCGACATCAATTGATGACACTGACCACAATGCCGACATACGGTACGGTGGCAGTTTGCGATAGAGTTGCAGGGGTATCCGTACATCCTTGGCCTTTTCGGCCCCGTGATTGCAGACTTCCACATGTCTTGCGTGGACGTCCGGGCGCATCGCATCCGTACTCATGTCCTTTTGTCGTGTCTGGGTTCGGCTTGCCGTCGTGAGAAGACCTCATGTTGACCAGGCAGCTATTCCAGCTTTGAAAGATCATCTCTCGAGTTGGTGCCGAGTAGCTTTACACAATATTGCCCCGACAGGATGAGAACGGCAGATATTCGACCGTGGAGCTGAAGTGCACGCTGCCTGGTGTCAAGGATTGCTGGGTGACCAACGTTTGCATGAGACAGTGAGCGCAAGCGTCAATTGTCGTACTCTCTCTATCTATCTATATATATATATATACATGATGGAACTGGGGAGGCTTGTCCAAGGGAGGTTGTCTGGGGGGTGTTCTCAGGATCCTTGCGGGGTTGTCCAAGGGGTTGTCCAGGCGCTTCTCATTGTCACGCATACCACAAAAAGCATGGAGCAACCAGGGAAGCCCAGCTGGAAATGTCGCCCAGCATGGAGCACCAGCGAAGTTGTCTGGCAAGTTTCGCTTGAGACATCATCGCAACCTGGGGCTCAGAGGTGCCCTGACCAGAGGTGATCCAGGCAGTTTCACCCGAGACATCCTCACAAGCTTGGGTTCGGAGATGCCGCAGGGGAGCTGGTCTGGCCAGTTCTACGTATGGTGTTACCGCTCGAGTGCCAGCCACATCCGTGATTGGGAATGGTGCTTTCGTCCGAGCTCTGGCTACATCTCCGTTTGGGATTGGTTCTGTCGCCTGCGCGCTGGCCACATCCCTCGTCATTCGGCGTGGCGCTCTCGCCTCAGCGCTGGCCACATCCCCAAGTGGGTATTGTGCTGCCGCTCGAGTGGCAGCCACAAGCACGCGCTGGAACGCTGATGGTATACATCTCGGAGGGGTTGTCCGGGTTGTCCGGGGGTATTGTCGGGGGATTTTTTTGGATAAGTTGTTTCATTGAACGTCGTATGGAGATCTTATTTCCCAACGTCAGCCAGGACATTCAGCGCACGCTTGGGCCGAAAAAGTTGAATAGGTGGCGCAGATGCCAAAGATCTTGCAATGGGTAGGCCGAACGAATATTTGGAACGGGGCGGGACCCTCCTGGTGTTTTCATCGGGGCGGCCATCTAGGGCGCTCTTGGGGTCTCTTGGAGCCTTTTCGGCGCCCCTTCGAGCCTGTCGGGGCCAGGTTGGAGGGCCCAAGGGCAGTCTGGCCGCGTCTTGGCGCCTTCTTGGGGCGATCTTTGGCCGTCGAGGAGCCGTCGACGGGATCCAGAGCCATCAAGGCCCGTGTTGGGGGCCCTTCGGGTTGTCTCACGGACTCGCGTGAGCTCCGTGGTCCTTGGGAACCA